TTTTAACAAGCACAGAAATCAAATGTTTTTGTAAAGACCATGCTCTCAGTTATATATAATTTCTTTACCAAACAGCTGTGGGATCCATGTGTATTATTGCAAAATGCAGCTTTGCAACCTTTCTTTTCTTGTAACCACTTTCTTTTTTTCCAGTTTTCTGATTTGCAAGTAATCAAAATTTTTCTAAATGAAGATGTTTATATTTTAAAACAAGGTACTATAAAACTCATATTAAACAATTTATAGTAGATAATGTTCTATTAAAGTGTGTGCTTGCCACAGACACATTGATTTTCTGTAATTAATTTCTACTAAAATAAATAAAATGACTGGATGCTAATGATTATATAAGTTAGACCAAGTAAAATATCCATTATTACATTATAATATATTAAAGAATAGCACAAGCCCTCTTGCCTGCCATTTTCTCTCATTTGTGCTACTGTAGCTCCTACATAGTGATAGAAACCAGTGGTGCTTCAGTGGTTTTACAGAAAGGATAATTTGTGACCCTTGATAAGGGCAGAGGCACAGCAGAGTACTTCTTTTATATTTACAGCAGAAACTCTTTTTAAGTGTTGCATAGGATCTTCTTCAAATATTTTTTCACAAATAGCAAAAATATGCATTTCTTTGTTGAATATAAAGCAATTTTATTAATTCCTTGAATTTTGCTGTTTCTTTACTTTAAATATCTCTGGTGCTACAAACCAATGGAAATGTGGTGTTTCTCATCCTGCACATCAGGGCTGAGGTACTGAGCAGCCACTGCTGACTTGAGATGTTTAATGCTGGGCTACACTGGGGAAATGTCCCAAATATGCATTAAGTGATATTCCGAAGTCACACTTGGACAGTTAGAAGTGCATGATGGTCCACCACCCAAACCCAAACTTCAGATATCAGGCATCATTTAAGCGTGTTTTTACAGTGCTATCACCATGTCTCATGTTGTCTTTCAGATGACCAAAATAAAATAATAACCTCCTTTACTATCTCTGTCTTCTAAATGGAAGGAACTATTTAATTTCAAATCTTTTGTGTGCCTTCATTACAGGTTGGCTCAATGATCTGAAAAGTCTTTTCCAATCCAAATGAGCACAGACACTCTCTGAAGATGCCACAGAGATTTTAGGATTGTGTATACAGTCCTGCAGCTCTTTGTTTTCTTCCTTCCAGATGTTGTTTGTCTTTAAAGTCTCTATATTGGCTTGTTCCTTTCCAACTTTGGTGCACACTCTGAAAGTTTTAGCAAAGCTTTTATTGCTGTGCCTTCGTAATGTTAGGAAGAATTCATCCATCCACCTTGTGGTCTGCAGGGGATGGAGACCATGGCCCCTGGCAGTGGGCACAGAGCTCTGCTCTCTAGGGAGCTGATTGGAGTGGAGCAGTCCAGCAGGACAGCTGTCTCTAGGAGGTGGTCAGCAGTAGTTGTTTTCCAACAGTATGAGCTCTCTGAGCTTCCTTAAAAATGCTATTTTAGATACTTGAGGGAGCAGACCGCTTGTCCTGTGAGAAAAGGCTGAGGGGTCTAGGCTGGTTCACCTGGGGAGGAGCCAGCTTTGGGGACACCTCACAACAGCCTTCCTGAAACTGTGAGGAAGCAACTGGGAAACACAGAACCATGGAGCAGAGAGAGTCAGGCCCTTCACAGTGATGCGTGGTGAGAGGGTGAGACACAGTGGGCATAACATGAAACAAGAGAAGTGCAGGCTGCATATAGGAAAAGCATTTCCCTCATGAGGACACCCCAGCAGTGGGACAGGATCCCAGGAAGGCTGTGCATTCTCCACCCCAGGAGTTTTTCAAGCTTTGATTAGGTAAACCCTGGACAAACTGCTCTGACTTTGGAACTGACTCTACTCTGAGTAGGCTGATCTAAATGACCTTCTGAGGTTTTTCCTGTGGTCTTACAATTTGCTGATACTCGGTAGAGGATGAACAAGTACAGATGTGATGGACTGAGAGCAGCTAGAACAAAGAAATGCTGGTGCCTCCCAGAGGTGGCAAAAGATTGAGGAACATCAAATGAGTGCATGAATATGGATCACTGACCTTTGTTACACTGGAAATTATTTGGTCCTGGCTTAGAGAGCAGTGCACTGTCATCACTTTTATGTTTCAAGGTTTCCTTTGAGGTTCCAATGTCACAGAGAAATCAGTTTTGTTTAATGACCTTCTACACAAAACCTTAGCAGTTTTTTGTGTTGGTGACTAAAATTGATTTTGCTTGTGATGTGAAGGAGCACAAGCCCAGCCTCCACATCGTTGATCACCCATGTGCTTCAGTCCTACCAAAGAAGGGGAGGCCAGCAAATTTCTGAGCATCAGAAATACCCATGCTGAAACTCTTAGGTGCAGTATTGATAAGACTCAGCTAGTTTTTAATCTCTGTGATGCATGGTTGGAAACTGCACCTTTGTGCTTGAGGCCTGGAAATGCTTGATCAATACTTTTCTTTGGTAAAGTAACATCATGAAGAACTTTCTTATTTTCCTCAAGCATTTCATAAGAGAGAATTCCTCCCTGACCAGAGTAATTACAAAACAATTCAGTAGCGGTTTATGTTCCACACTTCTCAGTTAGATAAGTGATATGAAAAAAAAAAGAATAAGAGAATGGTGGAGGATAAATTTGTCAGAGATATAAAAACTGCAAGGAGCACAAGGTTTCATAAAGGCTTTGGGTAGACAATGAAAGAAAGGGGTGAATAATCCACATAAGGAGCAAGGATAGAAAAAGAGAATTAAAAGAATGTGAAAGAGAAAGTGAAGAGTCTGACAAAATGAGGAGGGCTTTGGGTAGACAATGAAAGAAAGGGGTGAATAATCCACATAAGGAGAAAGGATAGAAAAAGAATGAAAAGAATGTGAAAGAGGAAGTGAAGAGTCTGACAAAATGAGACAGAATAATTGGCAGTTAATGTTTCAAGAAAAAATTTAATAAAAATTGAAGGAAATATTATGCAAATAATGATTTTACATTTGTAAATTTTCTTAGTCTAGCAGTGCATGTTTGACAAATATTCTTTAACCCCAGTTTTGGAAAATTAGAGAACTTAGTTTAGATTTAAATTGATGGATAACAAAAGTTATGATCACTAAAGTGCAAAAAAAAGTAAGTTCATTGAATTAATGACGTTTAAATCAAATTTCCATTATTCTGGCCACACCAGTTTTCAATGATAGCTTTTTCAAGCATAGTTTTCCATGGCAACTATCCCTCATACTTTAGGGACATTCTTGCTTTTGAACAAGTTGATAAACTGACAGCTGGTAACAGTGGCTAGCTCCTCTGCAACCAGTTGAGGAACTAAAATTGCAACCTCTCTGTCTTCTAAAATGAAGGTAAATTTTAGGAGAACCTAGAGACTCACCCTCCTGATCCTCCCCAGAGCCTGTGCACAGCAATAGGATCACAGGAAAAAGACTTATGTATGACTGGAAGAGACAGGGCCGTGTTTCAGGCTATCCCAAAATACAAGGCTAGCTCTGCTGGTACTAAGCCATACTTCTCTTTGTGATGTTAATTAGAATTTAAAAAGTACCTGATGTCCTGAAAAATCCTTGGAAGGTGTGGACAGCAAAAGCTGAAAGTGTCTTGGGTGTTGTTTTGATTGCACTTAGGCTACAAAGACATTTATCAAAAAGAAGGTGATCTATGGAGATTCTAGTGGTGTTCCCTTTCTTCACCGGGAGATAAGAATGAACTGCAATGGATTTTCTTTGTTTGCAGTACAGCCTGGACTCTCCTAAATGATGCAAAGAGAAGGAATTCCAAAACAAATTTTGTTTGGATGCACCTACAACAGAAGCAGAATTAATGTATGATGTCTTATGAAGGCTGCAGAAAGCTTCTGGTGTTGTTTTAAATGAAAAGCAAGACTGAACATTTACCAGTTTCTGATCCAGGATGGAGAGCTGAACTAGAGAGTATGCAAGGGCTCTAAATGCCTCTCATCCCTAGGAATCCTTGATGTACTCCTGCCCAGCTGATACTCCACTGGATCAGTGACTGACTCTTGCATATCTCACTGGTTTTATGTCCTACAATAATCAATCTAGCTGCTTCTCCAAAAATAATGTCCTCCCCTTTATTACTTTGCCTTGCTCCTCAGGATTTTTCTTAATTTCTGTTCTTCATGCTTGGAACAATCTTTACATCCTGAAGTATAAGCCATAAAGACTCTCTTTTTTCTTGATTTTTAATTATTCTCTTTTGAGGGGCATGTTGGTGACTGGGATGCATTTTAGTAATGACAGTTAATTACCAGCCATTTATTATAATAATAATTGCAGTATAATATTTTTAACAAAATTTTCTATGCTATTATTATTTCCTGTACTCCTGATGTACTAAGATGTGTATTTCTCCAGTATCAAGTTTTAGCCAGAGATAAGCATGCAGGCAGTGCATCACTGGTGAGGTTCAACAATAATAATGACAGCCTTGCTGGCAATTGTAAAGCCTGAAAAAATGTTTTGCAGGATTTGAAATTTAATATCTGAGGAAGGATGCAAATGTTGAGTATTTCTCTGAGAAGAGTCATAGAAACAGGACTTGCTTGGAAAGTTGGAATTGTGATGGCTGTCATCCCATGAGTTGAACTTTATCCATGAGACTTCTGTAGATCCCTGCCAAGTGGGTTATGGAATGGTGTTGGGAAGATGGCAGAGGATGTTTATTTCCATACTGATGAATGGAAGTTTGTCTTGTGTACAAGAAGGAGTAGGAAAAAGGGGGAAAAAAGCATGGAATGTGCTTTTCACCTAAATCAGTAAATGATAGGAGAATGTCTCAATGTATTCAGTTTCTACAATGTGCTGCCATTATGCTGTGTTTGTATGGAAGCACCTGGGCACACTGTTTCCCAAATGCTTTATTTTGACCTTGGATGAATAACACACAATTCCTTAAACTGTGAAAATACAGATACTTACCTTACGCTTTTGTCTTTTTTTTCCCTTCCTTTTTTTTTCCTCCTCCTTCCTCTTGTCCAGGGAAGACTGCATCAGTCACACAGAAGAAGCAGTAGAGCTCTGAAGGATGGATGAAATGTGGTTTGGCCTGAAGGTGACTGCAGCTGCTCCATTATGGGAAAAAGTGAGAAGTTGTCCTAAGTTGCCATCTGCACCGCCATTTTAGCCACCTGCTGTAGTGGAAGCTGGCCATGCACACCAAGCCAAAGTGTGGTTTGAGTCTGAGTTTTGTTTTGTTTTCTTGGGATCTCAGTATTTGCATTTTAAAGCAATTACCAAGTTAAGCACAATCTCCATCTTCATGGGTCTGCTTATGTGGATATGCAGTATCTTCAGCCTTGTGTGGCTTTGAGCATTCCTGAAAGAGCCTTTGATCTGAGTTGGGATGTTTAGTATATCTGAGGATGTGATACTTGAGGGTACAAACTTGTTTAGCAAATGAGACAGAATGGCATTTTTACAAGGGTAAGTTGGAATTGGGAATGAACTTCATGTGTGCTGAGAGGCACTTGGAACATCAAAGTGCTCTGTCCTGATACTCTGAGTATTTCAACCACATGAATAGGCCACACTGAATTTAACTTTCAGATAAAGCACTTGCAGGCACACATGCTTCTCCTGAAACAGGAATGTTTGTGCACTCTGGCTGGCAGCAGCACGAATGACGCAAACACATTTTGCAACCATGCTGCCCAATACAGATTACACTCCACAGCCCTACTGTTCACCTCTGAGCACCCTTTGGGAAGGCAGGAGATGGGAGTGCAGGCACCAGACCTGGACCTAAGGAGTCCTGTGGATCCATTCTGTAACTAGAGGCACAGGCAGTTGAGTCAGTGGCAATACTCATGCTGACCTGGATGGCAGCAGCTGCTCTCCAACTCTTACATTGTGATGCACTTTCAGCTTTGATAACTGTTTTATGACTTGTATTTCCCTTTTTCTTTTTTAACGAGCTAACTGCTAGGATGTGCTGTCTTTACAATGCGTAGTTGCCCAGTAATTACAGATATCCTTTGAAAGGAAGCAGAAGAAGAATAAACCGTGGAATCCCAAATCAGATTAATGTAATGTGCATTTCTAGATTACAATTAGTAACAGGATGACATGTTGTCATGGTAACATGAAGCTTAACTACAAGTTCCTAAAATAAAGCAATGACATATGTGTAGGTTTCTATCCATTTGCATACTATCCACATGAAAACATACATAATTTCTACAACACTCAGGCAATTAAACCCTACTTCTTTCTTCTGAATTAAGTGTTGAACTAAAATATCAGGCCTCTTTCCTAGTATTTATGCAAAATCTCCCACTATAAATTATAAATGTTGATAATGAAGCTATCCATTTTGTAACATCTTAAGATTTCTGCCTTTTGGTTTCATTTTAGAACAATTAGTGTAAGGAATGTAGAACACTCTTCTTTCTTCGTGGTTTGTGCCACATATAAATTCTTGAAATTCATTGAAATTCTTGAAATTCTACCACCTCCTCATATGAAAATTGTCCAACCAATATTGGAAAAGTCTTCTTATTAATTACATTGATAGACCAGTGGATGTGTTTCATGTGGCTGAGAATTGGGAACTAAAACCCCAACTTTACCTCAAATCACTGGAAGAAAGCAGTAAACTTTTCACGTGAGATTGCTAGCTAAGACAGAGAGCCTAGTTATTATTTTCTAGTTGCCTTACGGTGAAAAGTGTTGTCTACTTGTTAGAGAGTCTGAGTATCTTTCACTAAGCAGAAGTTAACTTGTTTAATGTGCTGTCTGTGGTAGAGTTACCAGAGCTTTATGTGTATTGTCATTTCATGGTAAATCTTCAGAGAATGAAAAATTGGGCGCTTTGTTCTGATTGCTTTATATGCACAACATTGTTTTGGCCAAATTCTTTAGTCAAAATTAAGATGCTGCTAAGTTCTGTGAGTAAATGCAATCTCCTTCTGTCACCCTAATTAGACAAGATGGGCAATGTTACATGGAAAATATGGTTTCTTTGGCAGTTCACTTATTTATGTATACTTTACTGTATAGACCATTGGAGGATATTGAAAATACAGCTTACAGGTTGCTCCTTAAATGACCTTTAAATCCCAAATTCTGTTCTTCACACCACTATGGTTGGCAAATGCTGCAAGTACAATGATTGACTCTGGCGTGATAACCACGTTATATTCAGAATAATGGAGTTGCTGGGAAATGTGTCACATACACAGCAGAGTTCCCAGGATAAGCTGCCTGCTAAAGCATGGCTGATGTTTGTCCTTGTGGCCTTTTGAAAAGTGGAAACTCTGATTTTTGTGTTTCATAAATCTACCTGTATTTGCCCATGAAGGTTTTTAATATTTGAATTTACTGTGGTTATGGGGTGGAGGGAGGGACATGTGCATGCTGGGTTTTGCCACTAATCCTTTGGAAATCCTTTAGTGCCTTAAGGAGGCAGAGGGGTAACAGGCCCTAGGATTACAGAAACTTGTTCAAACCTCTTTCCTGCTTTAAAAGAATTCCTTTAAAATATCTTGTGCCTTTGGCTCTAAATATATTTGCATTAGAAATCAGTAGCCATGGGATTATGGACAGGAATTTTTGCCCCTGTAGAAATGTTAGGAAAGACAGCATACTATTTCTTGTCTAGGATATCATCTAAAAATATAGCTGACTTAAATTCTACAGTTGGGATCCATACTAGGAAAGTTGCAAGTTGCAGTTAAAGGCAGAAAAAACCCACAAAAAATGGAGAAAGCTTAAATATACTGGACTAAATGCTTTATCATTGAAGTGACTGGCAAATTTCCATGGGGTTTCTTGGGACCAAGATTTCATGCTTGCTTCTACTTGGCTTAAGAAATTCTCAGATGTGGTAGATATGTGGGTATCATGTTCTCTTTAATGTTGTAGGAGAGGAAAAGAGAGATTAGTAGTTTTGGACACCTGCCTTGATTTGGAGTTTCTGGGTATAAATCTGTGGTATAAATCTCTGTTCACCATTGTTTCTGTGTGTAATGTGGACTCTTGCTTTGGGAATATGAATATGCAAATGTAAATTCCAATGTGAGAGGTTCCTGTGCAGTGTGCACGAACCGATGCCAAACAACTACATTTCTCTACTCTCTGAACTGTGGTATTTTTCAAAAAGAGGGAAAATGTAACTAACAGATGAAAACCACTCCAGTGCCAAAAAAGCCTGCATGAGGCAATTCATATATCACTCACTGATGGTCCTAAGCAGCTCTTAGGAAAAGCTGAATAAGCTTTTAACTCATGAGTGAATTTTATCTTCTAGGAATTAAGAACAATTTGTTGGTACAGAGCTAAATAAAAAAAAAAAAAAAAAAAAAAAAGAAGGCCTGAAAATCAGACTGGTGGTGGTCTTCTGTTTTGCTCCCTGTGATGACAAGCAAGTTTTAAAGAATTTGTAAATAGTTAAAAGAAAATCATTACGTGGCTCCCAGTATGTAAGACAAGGCCCAGCATGAAACAGATTTTTATAGCTCATTTATAACTTTACACTTCTGTCTTTTGTTTGGAACTTGGAAAAGGAAACCATGTAAATTAAATAAGGAGTGAAGACTTGCTGCACATATTTGTTGACTGAAACAAAAATATTTCCCCACCTCCTGAGGTATTTATGACTAATCTGGGATGAATAAAGTATGGAGGTCTTGCCTTGTGAGCTCTAGTGCTGTGCAACAACTGTTTCACACTTTTGCACAGCCAACAGAGGAGTGGTAACCAGAAGTCATGAAGAGCAGTTGTTAGGGCCACAAATTTAGATCCATTTGAAGAGGTACCAAAGAATGCACAAAAAAAGCTGGGATTTATGTTGTGATACTTATTGAGCAGGTGGCGCAGTTAGACTGGGGAGGGAGGGGTGTTTGTAAATAAATGCAAAAAGTTTAAACTCTGACCCATGACCACCCTGCCACTGGGTGTCACATTAGTTCTGGCTATGTGAGAAGCTTCAATAGTATAAAAGAGGCCACTCATATTTTAACTGTTTCATTAAAACTTTCTGGATAACTCTTCAGCAAAGATTTCCACTCTAAGACATTTGCCATTGATATCAACTGTACATATGTATTAATATTCAGTGTAACTAGGAGGATACAGAATTGTAATGAAGTCACAAAGTCTACTTGATGATCACAGATTTGTAACTCTCACAAATTATGTAAGATATGTTGACATTTTATCTTGTTAACAAGATGTATTTTTCTATGTTAGCTAAATGTATAATTTGTATAATTTTGTATATTAAATGTATGCATATTTTAAATTAAAAACATTATAATTTTATTATTTTAACTTTAAAATGGTGACAGAGCTTCTGAAATACAGTTTTATATACAACTGTATCCATGGATAGCAACCCAGGAAGTCTCAGTTTTGAGGAAGGGGCCACCTGATCTTCTAACAGGGTAAGGAAATTGTTACACCCGAGCTCTTGCTCCTTTTGATGGAGGAGCTGCCATTCAGCTTCTGCTGAGTTAATGGAATGAATATGAGTTGGCAGAATGCTATGGGCTGTATCACTGCTCATGAAGTGGGTAACCTGAGCCGTCCCCAGCTCGTAGCTGTGTTTTGGATTCACAGTTCCTGTATGTCAGGAGACAGTTCAAATCACCAATCCATGGGATGGGGTTTGTGGGGGGAGGAGGACACTGCTGGCAGAGGTACAGCAGTCCCACAGAGCAGACAGGGAGACTGACTGCAACTTGGCAACTCCAGTCACTCCTCTGGAAGAAGGGGAACTCGTGTCTCTCACATGCATTCCCTTTGGATTGTTCATGCTTTTTTGGTCCAAGGATTCTGTTGTAAAACGCACAATAACAAAAAATAGGTGCAAAATGTACATTGCACATTCTCTAAGGCCCTGCACCAGGGAAGTTCTGTTCTAACTCATGATGTTCATGCTGTTGGAAGAAGAGCTCAGCTACAAATGAAGCCAAGGTATGTGACACCCTTCTTGTTGGGCTTTTATCCAGTAGGTTTTGTAGTGTGAAGCAAGTCTCTAGGTTTGCTGCTATCACTCATCTAGTCTATTTGGAATAAAGGTCCTATAGGAAGATGGTGCACTTTCAATCAAGTTCAGTCCTCTTTTCATCAAGCAATGTCAAAACAGGATGAGATGCACTGTCTGCAAGAGAATATACCAAAGCAATATCTTTCTCCAAAGCTGCATACTTGCTTTTAGGCAAACTGACAGGATGCCAGGGCATCAGGATGCATCTGAGTCTGCTTCTGTAGCACCTAAAACTGCCATTTGATCTCTTACTTAACAAAGGAACAGTATGCATCTGGTGACTGATATAGTTTTTAGTAAACTAAGGGCTATGGTATGAAGAAAACCCAAAACATTTAAAAGCAAAGACAGACTCTGGTATTATTTTATGTTTATTTCTAACTAGGAAGTTTAATGCTGTTTTCTAAAGCATTGATCTGACACGTTCTCTCAGTCTTGTGATCTCCTCATGTATAGAATTAATATGAATCTCCTGACTTAAGAATAATGCTATTTTTAAGTTTTTTTGGTTTTTTTAACCCTTAGTGCTCTGGAAACCTGAACGATGTTATCTAACTAGATCCCAAGTATAAACAGAGTCCATCTTTCTTAGCTTTATGGATGATAAAAATGTATGCTCTTCATTTAGCAGATGTATGCACTATGCAACATATCAGACCTACTATGGGACCTTCAGACGTTTTTATTCTGGAAATTCAAATTAATCTCTTGATTGCAAAGAAATAACTCATAAAATGAATATTTTTCCAATACTTGCAAAGACAGGCAAGTCACACATCACACTCTATGTCCCACCTGCATGTATCACTAACTGACAAGGTTTGGTGCCCTGTGTAGGAAAAAATTGACTTTTTTTCCCCCCCAATATGATCAATAAATCTCAGTGTTACCATGAGGAACAAAAAAAATCAATATTTGTCCATACAAGAGAAGACTTTAAGGAAGCAATGAAGCAATGTCCTACAAGCTATAGTTATTTTTTTTCACATGCACCAGTGAAGCCTCTGCACGATATTAACGTGTTAATGTGGAAATACGGTTTATTAAGTGAGCTGTAGAATCCTGGGTGATATATGCTCAGAAAAGGCAATTGACTAAAATCAGTGTGCTGATAACCAATAATAAATGAAATTTTGACTATCTTACTAACTCCTCTCATGTGAAACAACACCTGTAGTGTCAACGTGTTAATGTGGAAATACGGTTTATTAAGTGAGCTGTAGAATCCTGGGTGATATATGCTCAGAAAAGGCAGCTGACTAAAATCAGTGTGCTGATAACCAATAATAAATGAAATTTTTACTATCTTACTAACTCCTCTCATGTGAACAACACCTATAGTGTTGATGCACACACAGCATTTAAGACAGCAGGTCCCACTGGATTACAAATGCAGAAAAGAAAAATGTTTTCCTTGGATGTATTTTGGCATTGCTCAGGTATGTCACAGCACTGCTTTTTCACATGGTTTGGGTCCATGGGTAGTTGTTAATGACAAGGATGGTTATCTGGACTCATTTCTGATGAAATCCCAGGGACGTCTCTCTTTAACCTCCCACTTTTCCAGATTTCCAATTAGTAACTTGCAATTTTTCTCATGTTGGGACCACCAGGTATGCTTGTGGCCAAATACAACAGCGCAGTGTGGTTGGGCTTGTATTCAAACATCGCTTTGAATGTGAGCAGTAAACAGGCCTTGTGATTGATCCACTGCTTCAAACTTGCTTAGTCACCGGATCAATCTCAGCCCAGTTTGTTACAATATATTATCTCAGAGCAACAGAAAATGTCCCTTATGTAACTACTGGTGCAGTCAAAGCCCGTGGCAGAGATTGTCTGCAGGTGCAGGAGAGCAGTGTCCAAGGACTTGTGAATTTGGTGGATGATCTCAGGCGCCACATCTCAGGATGACTGTAGGGCAGGGTTGTAAGGCTGGACCTTCTGAAGCGGGCTGTGCTGAGGGGAGCTCCTCTCCGCTCCTCCTGCCCTTGCTTTTGGCAGCTTGGATCCCTCACGGTGAAACGAAGCCCTCCCTGGTTTGTCTCCTCCTGCCGAGGCCAAGTCAGGCAAGCACCACGCGGGCCCGGGAGCCTCCCGCGGTGCTGAAGGGACAGCTCCGGGGGCGAGCCGCGCTCCAGCTGCTCCGAGGGGGATCGGCGGGGCCACGCTCGGCTCCCCGCCTTCCTGGGGGCTTGGCGGACACTCAGGGGCCGTGGGCCCACACCCGGGCCCGCGGAGCCGGCGCCCCATGCCCGCTGGCGGGGCCGGCGGCTCAGGCAGCGCTCGGCGCGATCACTTCCGTGTCAGGGCCGGCGCCCCCGGCCTGCAGCCCCATCCTGTAGCCCCATCCTGCAGCCCCATCCTGCAGCCCCATCCTGCAACCCCCGGCCTGCAGCCCCCTCCTGCAGCCCCCTGCCCCCGCGGCGTGCGAAGGGGTCGGGCGCCCTCCACGCCGCCGCAGCGGGGGAGCAGCGGCCGGGGGCGGCGGGGCGGAGCAGAGCCGCCACCACCGCCGCGGGCACCAGCTGCTGCGGCAGGGGCAGCGCCGGCCCCCCTGCCCTGAGGCTGGATCTGCTTCCCCCCACACGCCGGCCACCCCTCGCTCTTCTCGCCGCCGCTCCCCCTACGGCCGCAGACCGATCCCGAGCGACGCTGGCCCGTCCCCCGCCCGTACCGGGGCTGCCGCGGCCGCGCCCCCCGCCCCGCCCGGGCACCGCCGCAGCCTCTCCCGCGGAGGGGGGCGGGAGCAGTGTGAGCGAGCAAAGTGGGAGAAACTCCCTCCGGCTCGCCCGGGGGGGCTGGGGAGGTTCGGAGATTTTCTCTCTTTTTTTTTTCTCTTTTTCTTTTCGCCTCCCTTTGATTCCAGCCCCGAAGCCACGCAGCAGCGGGTGAGCGGCGCCCGGCCGCAGGGCAGGACCCCGTTGTCACCGGCCGCGTGTGCATGCGGCGGGCTCCCTCCCTGCCTCCGCCCCCTGCCTCCCGCCCCCCGATCATTCTATACCGGGGGAGCTGTGCACTGCGGTCCCTGCTCGGGGAATCGCTGCTGCTCTTCCCATTCGTCAGGGGCTTTCCAATCACCTGCCTCTGCCACCCTCTCCGCTCCGCTCTTTGTACTTTATTTTCACGTGCTCTTTACTAACACGGCTATTTTTAAATCCCGCTCGGATTTATTTCTCTCTCTTTCTTTCTTTCTCCCTTATTTTCCTTTTTTTCTTCGGGGGGGTGGGTGGGGGAGGGAGGTAAACGTTTGCAGGTCCCTAACGGAAAGATCCCACCAGCCAACCCAGCTCCGCCACTGCTGCATCCATCCATTCATTTTTATGGTCACTAACAGCCTATCCCGGTAGTGGAAGGTGCAGAGAAGTGGGAGGCAGGGAGAGAGATAGAGAGAGAGATCCGGACAGCGAGAATGGCCGAGAGAAAGAGGAACTGGAATAAAGAAGATGACCTGCCTGTGTATCTAGCTAGGCCGGGCACAACAGCCCAGACACCGCGACAGAAATACGGGGGAATGTTCGCCTCCGTGGAGGGGGCCTATGAGAACAAAACCATCGACTTCGATGCCTACAGCGTGGGGAAGAAGGGGTCCCGGACCCCGCGGAGCGGCAGCCGGCACGACATGCTGGACGGAGGGGACAACTACAGCGAGACCGCCAGCGACATCAGCGAGATCTCCGGCTCCGTCATCAGCTCCCCGGGAGACCGGGAGGACAAGACCCCGGGCGTGGAGATCAAATACCCCACGGGGAAGGAGCTGCTGCAGGGCCAGGACAATGGACAGGTGAGCGGGGCCCGGGCTGGGAGGTGGGAGCCGCCGCCCCCGCTCTCTGGGCGAGCCGAGCCGAGACTGCTGTACCGAGCGGAGCCGTGCCGAGCCGTGCCGTGCTGAGCCGAGCCGAGCCGTGCCGCAGAGCCCCGCTCGCCGGCGCAGCAGGCTGGGGGCCGCCTTGGCGGGGGAGTTTCAGCACGGCAGGTCGGGGAGGCACGGCCCCCTGCTCCCGGGCACGCTGATGCTCTGGGAAGAGCCCGGCTGGCTCCTGAACTACCTCACTTGGCAGAGCTTAGCGGGGGCGGGAGGGGGCGACCCCAGAATCCTTTTCCTTTGTAAGTGATGGCGATGAGTTTTCTCCGTTTGCTTTCCTGCCCGTGCCGGGGGGCTGGAGGGCAGCTCGGGTCCCTCAGCGCCTCCCGGCCGCCCCCCGCAACAAAGCCGGGCCCGCTGCACTCCCGAACTCGCCGGGGA